ATTTACAGGCAGTATTACACGCTTTGATTTTTCATCCTCTCATTAAATAATCATGAATGTTTTACTGCTGATTGCAAAACATGAAATTTTTCTCCCTTCCTCATCCTAATATTGGCTTCTTCCTCATTTTGTGGTCTCACATAAATTATTCTTATCCCACAATGAAAGAGCATAAACACGCTTGGTTTTTTGGAGAAATTACAACTTACAGAAACATTATTGTTATTTTGTTGAGGCACAATTGCCATTGATTTGTTTTGAATCTCACTGGGCACATTCATGCCAGTTTTTCCACACCTTGTTTTGGACGATTTCTTTTACCCTCGGTCAAAGATCCTCTCAAGCTTGGCCAGATTGGACGTGGACTGCACGCTTCAGGTTTCTTCACAGAGTTTTTCAATTCAATTTTCAGGCTTTGGCCAGGCCCACTGAGGGTCATTCAGAGACTTGTCCTGAAGCCACTTGTTTTGGCTGTGTTCTTTGGGTGGCTGCCATGCTGTTAAGGGAACTTTCTGGACTCATGTGGGTTTGAGTTTGTGAAATGGAGCAGGGTTTTTTTTCTTCACGGTCCCCTCTGTATTTAGCTCAGTTTGCTGTTTCTTTGTTACCAGTTTCATAGTATCTGACACTGTGAAGTATCACCACAGCACGCTTCATTGTAGGGATAGGATTGCCCAGGTAATGAGTGGTGTCTTTGTTCTTGCTTGCTGCAGCACTTGGCTTTCTGACCAAGGAATGAAGGTTTTTACCCATAATATAGGAGAATATCTTCTCTTTATCACATGTAAGTTTATTTATATATATAAGCTGCTCTCAGACATGCACTGGACTCTGCGGAGAAGGTGCATGTGTGAATGCAAAGGACTTTAGGACTTTATCCTCCTGGCCTTCTGATGTAAGTAAAGTCTGTAGAAATCCAGGAGAATCTGATGTGAGAGCACAGCAGGGGATCCCCCGCTGGAGTCAACACAAGCAAGTGGGGGGTTTGATGGCGCTTCTAACATGTGACAGACACAAAAAAAAATGTCCTGGTGAAAAAGCAGGTACACGTTAAATCACAGACAAAGATTTGTAGAGAGTTTGTGGTGACAAGAGCTGACAATGATGTCACGTGATCTACGATAATACGTCACTTCCTGCCTCTGTCTGCTGCACACGGCTGCTCCATCTCTCACCTGAATAACACATACGATTTGATGCTGTTGTGAACTTGTTATAGTGTAAAAGACAAACTCTGGGTCAGAGGTCATTTCTTAAAAAGGACTATATAAGTTTAAATATCAATAGAATTGTATTGATCCATTGATCAGGTTGGAATACTTTCCAAAGCCAGGCTTCATACTGTACACACACACATGCTCACTTTCTCCCTCTCCATCTTGCATCCTCTCACTCAAACACCCAAGCAAGCACCATAACCACAGTTACTCTCCTCCTCTAAAAATCCCCTTTCTTTAATATTGCATCAAAGCAGCTGCACTATATCTCAGCTTACCCCCGTTCTTCTCTGGCTCACTCTCCCTCTGTCTTTCTCTCTCCCTCCCCTGCAGGCCTTCTCAGCCACTGTTGGACAGATCCATACCTGACTTCAACACCTTCAGCTCAGTCGAGGACTGGCTCACCGCCATAAAGATGAGCCAGTACAGAGACAACTTCCTCAACTCAGGCTTTACCTCCCTGCAGCTGGTGGCTCAAATGACCTCAGAGTGAGTTCACCCGCTTGTGTGCGAATGAAGATTTTCCAAACCCATATGGCACTTGATGGGCACACTTATATAAAATGACCTGACATCAAGTGCATTTATTTTTGGCATGAATATGCCCAGCGACTCAAGTCTCTGAATGATAGCATCAAAGTAGTGCCTGTATGGGTAATGCATTAAAATATGACTCATCATTATGGAAAATAACAGAGTGGTGTTGGTGCCAATATTTCCAACTGTGCTATGAACTGTTTTCCAAAAATATGGCTCTGGATCTAAAGGCTTTAAATAAATGTTTTAAGAGGGCATATTTATTCACTGCTGCTTATGTGGAGTATTTTAAAAGGTTGGGTCATGAAAGCAGTTCTCAATGTACTCGTAGCACCAATCGACACAAATAGTGCTCTCCATTTATTTTAATTAACAATGTTGCTTGGAGTAGAAATGTGTGCGAAAATGTAAAACCATTCTAACATATTTTATTAAAAAGGTATGCTTGGGGCTTGGTTGCATTTATGCAGTCTCTTTGCAATGCAAAGCAACATGCATTACTAAATCCTGTCTCAAGTGAGAGAATTTGTTTTGTCAATTTGTGTTTTCATTCATTTCAGCTTTCCATCTGGAAATTGTGCATTTCTATACAGTACAGTGATGTTAGGAGTGTAAACATTCCAGGAATCTTGTGTAGTCTTTCATACTCAAGTAGTTCATCTTTAATATTATGGAAATCCCTTCATCTATTCCTGCTTTTCAATTTTCTGTCTCTGTGCTTCTTTCTCTCTACAGGGATCTGCTGAGAATAGGAGTGACCCTGGCGGGCCACCAGAAGAAGATCCTCAGTAATATCCAGTCCATGAGGGTGCAGATGAGCCAGGCGCCCATCACCATGGCATGACTACAGGGGGCGCCGTGCCACGGGACGGGCAGCATTCGCAGGACCAACAACAATGGCAGCCCTCGAATGACCCCCGATCCATCGGAACGCGCCAGAGTCGAGACTATTGTCTTAATCTAATTCACTACCATGACAACAGGAGACCAGGGTCTACACTACCACATGGTTAACAGCTATCACACTTCATGCAATCCACACCAGGAGTTCAGGGTCCAGACTTGATACTGTTCCTCTTGTCCACGGACAGGAAGATAGATGTCACTTGCTTTGGTTACGAACAGCCATTCATGTCATTGTGAACCAAAATAACACAACAACAATCAAGACATCAACACAGGGACTCACTCACAATTTCAGACTGTACGATGAACTGAGTGCTGTTGTACTTCCATATTATCTGGACTAAAAGATGTTCAAACTGTAAACAGAAGCGTGAGACACTTTGAAACAACGTGTGACATGTGATTTTTTTCCATACTGTCGTCAATGTGTGCAATGAAGATGCCTTGACCTGGCCAGAAATAAGAAAAAAGCAATTACCAGTAGGAATAATAGGAGGGCGGAGAATACAGGGATGTACAGAGGAGGTCCATCGTCAACTTTCATATCATCTTTTGCTTGTTAGAAAGACTTGAAAATTTGAAAACTGAAATGGTGAAAAATGCAGAGCTTAGTTATATTTCGGTCTTGGACGATCTGTTTGTTTTTTGGTTTGTTTTTATCACTATAGCAAGATGCCGTCCACTTGTATTTTAACTTTAACACTACCTGTGGAGTCCTGGGTGGAAGGCCTTGCCAAAGGACTTCTTAGCCAGCCCCACCCAGATTCAGAGAATATAAATATGTTTATCTCTTGCTAAATATGATTATATCTTTCATAATTAACCTTCATATTGAAGGTGATATATATGAATATGTATGTACAGAACTCTCTGCTTGCATTTTTGGCAAAGACATGTTTGTTGATTAGATTGTTATGATTAGACACATGAAATGTGTAGATTCCCATGGTGCCCTGGTTCCCCTCCGGACGACTGAATAACGGATACTGGCTTGTGTGTCTCCCTGTTCCAGGGGGACGAGGACAATCCTGACTGAATCTTAACTGAACGGAATCATGGGTGAATAATTGGTATTGTAGATCTATATGAAAATTGCTGTAGGCGTTTAAATAATTGACAAAATATGCGTTTATTGGAGATCATGTTAAATGTGGGTGTACACATGCTGTTTCTTGCTGGTGAGCACTTACTTGTACAGATATGGTTTATGTTTTGTTTTCTTTTTGATCTGTTGTTGTTTGTGTTGGGAGTGTTCAGCACCATCCAGAGGGGAAGGAAACTCCAAGAACTGACTGGCTCAAATCTATGGTAAGTACCTGCTGATCACACAGGAAAAAAACACTATACATACCATAAAAGAAATCGCTCTGTAAGTGGTGGATTTTATTTCAGGCAAATCCAGTTAGTCTTTCTCACGAGCACTGCAAATGTCTTGGCCATAGCAAGATCTGGTGCTAGGTTGAAATGCGTGGGCGAGCAGCTAATCAAGGCAGGGGAAATTGGAGAAAATCTGCATCGCTTCTCTACTCAATGAACATGAACATCTGGGCTGAGGTTTGCCAACAGATGCGCGATGCCATCCTGGTGAACACACGGACTTAAAACAGCCCACATGGTCACTCTGCTCACAGTCTAGCCTCCAATAGACTGGTGCTGCTAAACTGCTGAGTATATCAATGCACCCACTCTATATGCTGCTGCTGCTGCCGTATGGCTGGGCAGGTTGAGTGTAAACTGAAGTGGTGTCCCAGAAGATTTCATGCATATATAATCCTGCAGAAATTGGTGTTTGGAAGTATATCCTTAGTGAGAAGTCCTCACAAAGGAAAGAATCACACGTAACATTGGTGCGATGGTTAGCACTATTGCTTCACACCAAGAAGATTCCCAGTTACAATGCCAGCTTGGCAGGTTCTCTATGAGTGGAGTTTGCAGTCTCCCTGTGTTTGTGTGGGTCCAAAGACATGTATATAGGGGTTTGCTCGATCGGATATGCTAAATTGACTGAAGGTGTTAGTGTGAATGGTTGTTAGTCTCAGTATGTTGGCCCTGCTATATGCTGGCGATCTGTCCATGGTGCACCCCACCTCTCGCCAAATGTCAGCCAGGATTTGCTCCGGCTCCCTCCGAGGCCTTCAAAGAGTAAGCGGCAATGACAATGTGATTTTTGTTTTCCCTCTTGCTGGTCACCTGCTTCAGTCTGAGGCTTTTAGAAAGCAAAGAGCCATTGCTGTTATGTCTAATAAATCAAGTGATGTCAAGCTTTCATTAAATAATGTTACATTTGAGAGCAAACTGACCTAAATGTTCCTGTGGCAATACTCCTCTGACATCCAACCGTGGCTGTATGTCAGAGGAAGTCTCCTAGGAAGTCTCTTAGCTCATAGACAATTATCATGAGCTATTGTTGCATCAATTCTTTGCTGTAGCTGTGACCCTGCTGTAATCCCTTTTGGCCATATTCGAAAAGACATGAGTGACGACAGCTCTAGCCACCTTGCATCCAAATTTAGAAATTGATGGCAGGCCCATTAGCAGATTATTAAGTATACTCACCACCCTCAAGTCATTCTCCTCCTCCTCTGTCTGTCCCGTCCTGCCCTCTCTCCCGGCTACTCCAGCTGGCTGGCAGATCCCCAGCTCATTTATCCTGGGTGTAACCAAGCTGTCCTGGGCCAGAGCTGGCCTTGGTTTGGGCCAGGGCCGGCCTGAGAAATGGCTGGCTCCATGCTCTGGTGGGCCCAGGCGGGGGTCAAACATCTGCTGGGACCCCCCATCTGACAGGCATCTGATCATTCATGGGGAGAGAGACTGATGAGACAGAAACACACACAGAGGAACCCTTGATTATGTTATTCTCGTGTCTGGTTTCTAGCCTGATGCTCACTGAAAAGAAAGTGGGAGAAGGGGATGTGTCCGTTTCAAGGAGAGTGTAGCAGATAAAAGACAAGGCTGATGAAAGTTAGTTCATCAATGTCAATCAGCCATTTTCCTTTCACGATGTGATTTATAAGGCATCATCTCTTTCATTATATAAAAGTAAATTTTTAGTTTGCTAATTGAAAATACTGTAATGAAGCAACTGGATTGTCTCATTGGTAAAATCAATTGGCTTTTCTTTTCAATCATCCAAGTTATTGATTTACTTTAGTATTCCTTAATATAATCTCATGCTCCTCGAGATTGGCATAAATCCTTTTCACCGAAGCCAGTGATTCAATTTAAATGCATTAGTCCTCCATTCAACTCAGTCTTGTGTATTTGCTTTTCAACCCAAGAGCCTGTGAATGAGATGATAGAACGCATTCATTACGCAACAGTGTAATTCAGTTTTTCCCCATTTGCTCTGTTTGTCTATCTAAATATCTGACTGTAATGACACTCCAGCGTGATGAATGGAGGGGCGGTTCGCCATTCCCGCTCTGAAAAGCTGTCTCGTATGGAGGCCATTCATCACACACTGATACAAAGCATAAGAACAGAGCTTGTTAAATGTTTCATGGTGCTGTAACTGTCTGAGAAGTGACCAACGATCCTTTTAGTAGCCGATTTCACGCCTGTCATTTATAGGTCGGACAAGCCGAAGCTGCGTTCACCTGAAAATGATCTGACATGACGTCCTGAAAAACTAAACTTGCATTCTGTCTTTTTTCTTCTGTTTCAGACTTACACACATATTAAACAGCACACACACAACACTTCATATTCGCACACTCACACACAAAAACACACACTGCGCACCCAGAAGAATTGCTGTTGCCAGCCGACAAAGAGGAAGCCCAGTACTCTTCCAGAGAACCAGTCACAACCTCCCTATGGTACAAAATGGTGGAACTGAATATGACTGCACGCTTCATAGTTTGTTTATTTGTGTATGTCTGTGAGAGAGAGTGTGATTGTGTGTGTGTGTGTGTGTGTAGCAAGCGCATTAGTGTGTACAGACATATATGTGTGCACAGGTACATTGTTTAAATGTGTGAACGTTTCTTTTATTTTTTGTTTTTGTATAGCTACCACTTGTAAATTGTGACATGTGTCAAGAGTTTGTAAGCTGTAACTTTCTGAGAACTATTGTACTAAAAATGCACTCAATAAAGGCCTTGGAAAACAAGTAAAGTCACTTCATGGTGTGTTTGACTCCATGGGTGATCATTCCGTTTTTCATTAATGATGAGTCACGAGAAGCAGAGAGGAAGGGTTATTATCCAGTAACACTGCTGTCAGTGCTGCGCACAAATGTGACACCCAATGCTTGGTTTCATATTGTCTAAGGAGAGAAACAGCTTTTTGTCAGTGCCGGTCTTGGCTGCCTGGTGGCACGTGTTAAAGCCCATCAGCCACTAATAAATGAGCCGTCACTCGGATTACATGCGAATGCAAAAAATGACTCTCCAGGAAAAGTGACAATATTTTGACAAACTAGAGGAAATTATCCTTCCATCAACACTCTTATCTGGGTCTCCAACACACTTTCACACACACAAACACACTCATACAGTGCAAATACACCAGCCTCGTAAATTAGGTTTGCCAGGGACTTTTAGAGCACTTCAGACACTGAGAAGTGTGTTGCACAGTAATGATATGGTTAATGAGGTGAGTCAAGAGATATGGGGATGTATCCAACACACAGCATTTATTAGTTCTAATTGATTGATAATATCCAGCTTCGTGTTAGCTGGGAGACTGCACTCTGTAGGGACGTGATTCATAAAAAAGTCAATCTTCTGTCTTTTTGTGTGTTGAGGATGCTAAATAAAACAGTTTCAGGTCACTTCAGGCTTTTTTATGAGGGTGTAAGAAATGATGGTACTCAGGAAGTTGTGAGAGTGTCCCATAGAAAACTTTTGGCATGATGTCGATGAATACGTGGACTTTGGATTAAAAGTAAATTAACACCAGAGTGAAAAGGAACATTTCACTGCCCTCGCTGGTCGAAAGCTTCTGGTTCCAGAAGGAAAAGTCTCATTAATTTGATTAATTATCCCAAAGATAATTTCATGTGACTCAACCATAAAAGCTCTTCTATTGGTGTGAAACTGTCTCGGTTTGAAGCATCAGTACAAAAGATTGGGAAGTGCTTCTTAAAATATTTGTTGTTTTTTTATTTTCAGCTTGTGCTGTCAAAAACTGACAGTCCAGCCTGTGTACAAAAAGAAATGTGCATGGGCAGAAGTTAATTTCAACTCCCAATGTGCATTTCAGCAAGAAGGGCCCAGACATGACTGGTAGAGGCTAGAGACTGCAAAGAAAGAAACTAAACCAGTTCACTATTAATGCCATGGTAACTTGTAGATAAATTCCTTTACTATCAGCATCTTTGGTTCAAAACTGCAACAACAAAAGTTTGATTTGTGCCTCTGACTGACATCCTCACAATAACAATGGCAGGGAGAGGTCTTATTGCTCAGGAGTCACTTCAAGGTCACGTGGATGGTTTAATTGTGGCGTTCTGCTAATAGTTAAACAGACGTAATGACCATTGAGTTTGTGATGCTCTTTAAAGTATCCTTTCCCTGCACCTCTATCTTAATTGGGCCTGTTTGTCACTTTAATCAGAACTATTAGAGGGATGCTGCCCTCCTGACAATGAGTTCTACATTACACTGGAGTGAAAGCTGATTTGAGAGTGAGAGAAACTGCATTTGACAGACAAAATGAGACTGACAGAAAGCCAAAGACGTGAAGACACGGACGAGTGCAGAAAGCTTTTTCTTAAAAGTGTAACAGGGTGTTTATCGCTGACGGAGGAGTCTGCTCATTTTATTTCACATTAAAGTCACAGGAAGTTGGAAAAGTGACTTCTCAGCAGCAAATCTTCACCTTAATCAATATTCCCTGAGCAATCACCTGTGAGGAAGGGATTGGTGCACAGCAGGGAACTCCTGCAGAGCGCGGGGGAAAGAGTTGGAGAAAAAGCAATACATCTAGCGTGGAAGATCAGAGTGTGTGAGTGGAAAACTTGGAGGGAATACTGAGTGAAGGGCAGTGGAGGAAAAATAATGAACTTGCAACCATGGCACAAAGATGATGGCACAGACATAGAGAGAGTCCTGGCAGCGGGAGAGAGGAGCCATAAAAACCGAGAGGGTATTTCTCAAATCTTTATCCAAGCTCTCTGTGTGTCCTCACCATACCTGTGTGTACGTGTGAGCATTTTTTTAAATATTTATTTAGCAAAACACTGAGGAAATGTAATGACTGGAGTCATGTCAATATCCAGTGATTCCTCCTGTGAGATTGTCTAAGGCCTAAATCTAATCTCGGCTCTTGCTGGCTGCAGGGCCTCAGTAAGCTGTCTGCGGCCTTGCAGTGATCTTGAAGGCCTAGGAAAAGCCCAGAGCACAAACTGCTCCAGGAGACCCAAGTCTGAAAATGGTTCACAAGCTCTGTGGAGACAGGTGTTCTTTCCTGATCTTTAAATGTAGCATAAAGATCAGTCACAAATAAGAGGGGAAAATGCTCCATTGCATAGAATATTTAAAGCAAAATTAGGTAGATTTTATACCTAGGACATGAATTACCCCGTCGACTTCTTACTTGCTGTGATAGCGTCATATTTGTGTAAAATCACCTTGTCAGTAGACATGGTTTTTGAGGTTGCCGTTTTTTTATTCGTCAGCTTGTCAACAAATGTATGTGAGTACATCAGTGTGCACAGGAAGGCTAAGACCACAACAACAGGGAAAGGGATGCTGGCTCACTTGTTCCTTTTGATAATGGTGGCAGGGTACTGAGGCCTGTCAAGAATCCCTTATAACCCTTATAGGTGTTAAATTGGGTTGATATCTTGTGAATCAGAAGGAGGAGGTTTCTTCTTTCAGTATAGATGGACATGCAATAGATGGTTGTAAGTAAAGGAAATTACCCTGTGTTGAAACCTCTTTTAACCCATGAAGAAGGCCGTCTGAGGCCAAATTCAAGGATGCTATTCTTACAGGGATACGAGCCAATAGAAGAAATAAGGAGTGAAGCTGAATCTCCTGGAGGGTAAAGATCTGAATCAGAGACGTCTAATCTTTGAAGCTTGGTCTTGTGTGTGTATTGCCCAGCTTCCTAGGGAGGCAGATAATGAAAAAATGAGTAAAAGACCATATTCTGCCTCCTTAAACTCTCTACTCGGCCACGTGTGCTCTCGCTGTGCAGCTTCTTCTTCTTGCTTTGAAAGCTAAATTCGGCCTTTGTGTAACAACACAGCCAATCCCGCTCAGTTCATTCCACCATAATGACGGCGAATTTGCATTTCACTTGTTCGGTAATTAAGTTATTGATGGACTTCACTGAATTTGCTAAATGTGGAAATGCTGCTCTGCTTAATCAAGATGTCAGCTGCTAGATTCAAACTGTATCTCTCTTACTAGAAGAAGACATTTCTCCTTTTGTGTATACGAAGAGAAATCCAGCACCTGGGTCAAATGAGATTTAATGTCTCGGAGGAGTTCATCAAATTTAATTATGATACATATAATTACCAAAAGCAATCTTCTGTGTGGTAGGAATAATCATTTCAGAGAGATTTTGGCACCTGCAGGGGTAAAGCGTAATTTAGAGACAGTCTGGAGTGACAGGAGAAAGAGAGTGGGGGAGAAAGAGACAGAAACAGGTGATTGCTGTATAAACTCCACTGGGCAAACAACAGCAGTCGGCCGGGGACGGTCTGCAGTTTAGTATCCAAAAGACCCCAAAAGAACATCTGACAAGTGCTTGATTTTGTTTGATTATGAGAATAAGGCCATCTTTCATCATAGTTGTGCTTGGGAGAACATAAACAAAGTTCTTGCCAAATCCAGATGTTTGTAAATGAGCTACATTTATCACAACGATATGTGGAGAAGGACAATCTGTAGTCGTGCAGCAGGTACGGACTGAACAATGGGTGCTGGAGGTAGAGGTGAGTTATGATTGCTCGAGGATCACAGCCGTAATTGGTTCTTTCACAGGGCACGAGGGGGCTAGGAGTTATGCGGAGAGACATTACCCCCTTTTACTCGCTTACACACACACACACACAAATAAAAACATACACACAAATGCTCTGTCTCACAAGCTCCCTGCCCATCCCAGAAACCCCCCGCAGAGCCTAATCCCACACAGAGCCCCTCTCAGCTCCACCCGCCTTCGATTGCTGCAAAAATCAATGAAATATTTTCCCACCAAAATGAAGAGGAACAATGGACGAGATCCGCACATCAAGGTCTTCCTAATTAGAGAGTTCACACAAAAGGGCTCCTTGGCTTCATGGCTTGCAGAACAGAGGGATACAGACTAGAAGAGGAGAAGGAATGAATAGTGAGTGATGAAGGTCATACACTTCCCACTCATTGCTCCCTTCTCTCTAATATCAACTTCATAACTCATAACCTTGGCTGCCAAAGTACACGTGAACTGCTGACATCCCTCTATGTTTTTAGCCATATAGCTGTGCACACAGCGTGCCATGCCAGAAGCTACAAGCTTTCCCTTTCCTCATCTCCTTCCATGATGTGTAAAGAGACGTGTCACCGTGTTTTATCACATCTGACGCTCAAAATGGAGAAAGAAAACCCTTCTACATTGTTGTATTATTAAAAGACCCTCTAATGTCTTTGCTCTGGGTAAGTGCAGCCGGTAAACCGTGTCTTGCTTGCTCGGGAAATTCGACAATGCCCTTTACTTGACTGCCCTCGCAGGGTGACACAAGAGGGAAGATGATAACAGACAATGCTGACTTCTCTCTAATGAGGGTGTTGGGCTAAAGATATGTAAATTTCCCTCCAAGGTCGCCTTCAGCCTTTTGTTTCAAGGAGGACCGATAGAATTTACCGCCACCCCTCCTACACAGTACGGATACAGTACAGAGGATTCATTTGAACCACGCTCAGGATGTCATAAAATACAGGACATCACTTTTTCTCTAGTCTTACAATGACTTGTCAGAGTATGAGTACTGCACAGAAGTGATGCATGTGAAGCAGAATTATGTAGAGCAGTGAAATATTGGTTAATGGCAGCCATTACTGCTCTTAACCAACATCTTAACGGATGCTTAAAGCACTGAGAGCTACAGTACGTTCCACAGATGCACTTCGCGTGGTATTATGGTATTTATACTTGGTGAAGGGGG